TGTGTGTGTGTGTGTGTGTGTGTGTGTGTGTGTGTGTGTGTGTGTGTGTGTGTGTGTGTGTGTGTGTGTGTGTGTGTGTGTGTGTGTGTGTGTGTGTGGAGAGACCTGAGGGAACTTGGACGTGATTTATGTCATGAGAGAAACAGAGGCAAACTTCATCCTGATTTATGACATTTATTTAACTTTTAAAACTATCCATGAAAAGCTGGGACAGACTCTGAGTGTTAAGTCTTGTTTAATGACCGATGCCAAGCTTAACATACTAATGCATGACGTGGCTCCATGCACTTCCTGAAAATGCAAATAAGACTGCATAATGGAATGAGATCTAACGAAATGTGTGTGTTTTTTTGCTTACTCTATACTAAGATTTAATCAATAATGTCCTTCTTGAATAACCCTTACGTCAGGTAACATTGTGAATCCGACACTAACTAATATGGAGAGGCAGGAGGGAGATGGGGGGGAGGGGGGCGTCCTCCTGCCACCTGCCATCTCTTTGGGACACGATACCACCATCAATGAAGTCTGTTCTGTTGAATTATCTCCCTCGTATCTACTTACCCCACGACCAACAGATATCGTAAGTAGTGCCATAATTTAGGGAACGAAAAAAACTATTGCAAGAGGAACGTTGAACAAATTGATCAACCCATATAAAGATTTGGTTGAAAATGATGATGTATTTACTTTAGTCTTTCTTTGTTATTACAGAAGGTCATTCGGTTTTGCACTGAGAGAATGTCTTTGTTGACCATGACCAAACGGGCAGCGAGTGAGCAACAGTCATTGAGTGTAATAAAAGAGGATAGAGGGAAGGGGTGAGTGAAACTACTGTACAGACTGTCAGTAAATCAGTCAGGATTGCTGGACATTTGGCTAACTATCGTATTTAAAAACCTATCAAAATCCTGACCAACACTTGAGTAACACACATGAAGCAGCTTGTACTTAAACTCGCTCCTATTTTGTTGTGTTGAATTAAAGTAAATGAACCTACACCGTCGTAAATAGCTCCTAGCCAGACCAAACATCTCAGAGTGAGTTATATTAATAAGAGCTATTAAGGTATATTGAGTCACTTAAGTAGCTCCCCTCACTGCTCCTGTACCTTACCAGAGGACACTAAACCTACATCATGTGACACTTTTAACGTACGTGTGTGTGTGTGTGTGTGTGTGTACGGAGGTGAAGAAGAGGTGTTATTCACAGCCAAAGTCTTACACAGAACGGTGAGGGTGGAGGACGTGGAGACCGGGGTAGTCTGTGGAGACGAGCTGGCTTCACAGGTAAGTTTGGCGCCGTTATCCTCAGGTGCCACTCTCACCTCAGCCCGCGCCCTCGTCAGGTTACCCTCACGCCGCAGGTCAGTCAGGGTTGCCTCCGCCTCCTTATAGATCCTGCCGTGGAGAGGAAGTTACTGGGTGAGTGCATAATGTGTTGTAAAAGTAATAGGATGGAAGGATACATAAAGGATATAAAGTGGATGAATTAGTGGATTAAAAAGGTGATGAGATAAAAAAAAACAGATAAAAAGGAGAATTGAGGAAGAATGAGCAAATTACTAAATAAACTGAAAACTAGATAAAATAACAGTACAATCAAACATAAGCTGAGTTAAAAATAAGATGATGATCAGGTCGTATATGAACAAAGGAAACCACAGTTAAAATAAAAATCAAGGGATAAAAATAATCACATTTATTAATATTTTCTGAAGATATTAAAAGTATAAATATAATGATTCAGTTTATAAATTCGGAAAATTTAAAATTTACAAATAACGAAAAATATTAATGAAAAATGAATAAATTTCTGAGTAAAATGTAACAGAGAAAATATTTTATCATGATATATTTTTAAGAGGAACGAGAACCTCAGTTATTATGAATCAATTAAGTTAAATCGTCAAATAAACATAAGTCTTTTAAGATGGTTCAAGTAATTAGGCTGAGTAATTAGAGTCCAAGGTGATAATCAGATAATTAGCACGAGATTGATAACTGCAGAGATAATTACTTAGATCTTTGTTCACTCACCAGTTACACTAATAACCTGATAAACTTTAAATGGAACAAAAATAAACGTAGTGAAAATAATGATAAAATATAATTAGAAATAAAAATAGATAGGAATTAATTGAACTTTTTAATATAAAGTAGAAATCATCCCAAAATTACGAAGAATTGACCAGGAAAACGAATTATAAATCACACAGGTAACGTGGTGATTAGCCAGAGGTGAATTGATGAATGGGAGGAGGAGGTTTAGAGACAGCCGGTTCATAGTCTCCATCTTATTGTAAAGTGAATTGAATATCTCATTCCCGCTTAAATACTTTATTACAAAGGATCGGATTCCTGGCGTTATATTCGGGATTCGAGCCTTCTCTCTCTCTCTCTCTCTCTCTCTCTCTCTAAGATACATGGGTGATATCCTCGTTGCTACACATCATAATATATTACGGAGGAATGCAATAGAACAATGTAACGCAACACGACGCAGTACAGTATAATGCACCAGAATGCAGAATGAAATGCGACGACTTGTACCAAAATGCAATGTAATGCAGTACAGTTGACGTTAATACAATAGAACACAGTGCATTATAACACAATACACTATAACAACATAATACACTATAACACAATACAACAACAGTGCAATGCGGTCTAGCTAGTATAACACAATTCAGTACAGCCTAATACAAAACAAAATACAAGATTACAATAGAACACCAACATCAAATTATAAAAAAAACTACAAAAAATAAAATACAAAGGTAATACAGTGAATTACCACCAATACTAAACAAAATACAGCGGAATAAATGATACAGGAGACAATTGCAAGAGAATGAAAGGCAATAATTAATGTACTTTGACAGGATACAGTGGAACAAAATGCACTACTTTACAGAACAAAATAAACCACTACAAAATCTAGACTACAAGAAATACATTACTCCATAAAATACATCTCTGCAAATTATAATAACGAGAAATTAAGGATTAAAATGCAATACGGAAGAGAATAATAGTGAAATACAGCAATGACTTTGAATAATATACAGTAAGACAATACCAAAAAGTCTTCCTCATTACAAAATTTATACCTGTATATTTTTTTTTAGTGTAACAGTGATGATGATTAATGGAAATATATGAGGCTTAATATTAGTGAAATGACAGGTGGTTAAGGTGTGGTTTATGAGGACAGGTGAGGTAGTGAGGACTATGACAGGAGATGAATCATGAGGTGTGAGGTCCAGGTATGAGAACAGGTAAGATAATGACGTCATAAGGGGAAGCATAATAATTAGTGTGAGGACAGGTGAGTATAATGTGTTAAGAATTTAAAGTTGAAGACAAAAGACGATAATTCATAAAAGTTTAATAGAGAGATAAAATAAAAAGAAGAATTAAGAAGAATAAAGAAAATTAGATGATTAAACTGTTAAACTCATACGTTAAGTGAAAGTGTTTGAAACCCACGAATTAGTTGGCCCTCCTTCCTTTGGTCTAAACTCCACCACTTTATTATTATGAAAAAAAAAAAACTTCCCTGGTCATATTTAATTAACTCACTTGATCCGTGAGGTATAAAACATATTTATGACTCTGTACTATATAACCCATTTATGAGTTATATAATTATGCATATATTTAACATCTACATAGAAACGACACATTCAGCTCCAACTGGTAGCCTACATGACCCAGTCAGAAATTCTGTGTGAATAATGAAATACTTGCAGCTGTGAATTCTCAATATATTATTAAAGGTCCACTATTCCTATAACTTAACTCTCTCGGTAGTTTGCTAATAAAAAAGATTCAATAAAAAAAGGTAATTTTATCAATATAACGTATAATTAATCTTATGTAGTCATTAGGATATAAGGGAGATAGTGCTAATAAAAATAAAATAATAATAAATTCACTATTCATAGGCTCAAGAATCCAATCTCTCTCTCTCTCTCTCTCTCTCTCTCTCTCTCTCTCTCTCTCTCTCTCTCTCTCTCTCATTCCACCTATTACTTTCTTTTGCTACTCTGCCGTTCACTTCACCTCATCGTTCAAATGACTGACATATCCACTCCCGGATTTTACCTCAGGTGTATTGTGCAAGACTTAGAATTATTTCCACATTTAGTGATTGAAATATGAAAGTTAATATATTGGTACTTTATGATGTACAGGATATATATATATATATATATATATATATATATATATATATATATATATATATATATATATATATATATATATATATATATATATATATATATATATATATATATATATATATATATATATATCTGGAGTCAATTTTAAATGAATGTTTTGTTTGGTATCATGTTATAGTTCAAGGTGAAAGCGTTCAAACTGTCAAGGTGTTAGGTGCTTAATTCAGGAGGGTCCTTTGCTTAAGCTATCTATCTATCTATCTATCTTTCTATCTAAAAATCTATCTATCTATCTATCTATCTATCTATCTAACTTTCTATCTAAAAATCAATCTATCTATCTATCTATCTAAATATCTATCTATCTATCTATATATCTATCTATCTATCTATCTATCTCTCCATCTATCTATCTATCTATCTATCTATCTATCTATCTATCTATCTATCTAAATATCTATCTATCTATCTATCTATCTATCTATCTATCTGTCTGTCTGTCCTAAGAACCGACAATTAACGGAGAACATTTATTTAAAAAGCATGAACTAAAATAACAGCTGCTGCTACCTTACTTGTTGAAGTTATTCACAGGTATTACAAAAAAATAAATAAAAAATCTCAATTTACTATTGTTTGTTGCTGGAGGCCATTGGCTATTGTTATTTTTGTTTTAATTAACTAGAGCGTATCTTGCAAATATATTGAAATGGGAAACATTTTAATGATTTTATCTGGTGAGAAATATGTTTATTTTATATGTACACAAGCATATATTTCTTCAGGAAACAATTAAAAAGTAAGAAACAAGAATTTATATTACTTTTCCCATTAATTATACTTATATGTCGAGAATGAATAGTTTAGAAAAATTGGCCTATTTTTTGTCTCTAGAAGACTATTCAGCCCAGCTACAACGTCTGTCTTTGTGAGGTGTGACGTCTACTGGGTATTACTACACCTTGTAAGTTGCGACTGTCATGAGGGCGGTGTTCCTGCCTCAAAACTGTGACTATATCAACACCATCAAACAACATATCCTTTAATTAACTCTGATAAAACTGGCTTGACGATATATAAAATGTTCCATGAAGGATCACTTACATTTATTTTATCTTCATAGTAAGTATAACTATCCACGTAGCCCGTAGTTCAAGAGATAGACACAGGTAGACGATCAAAGTCTTAGTTAATGAAGTGTCAAAGAACAAATTTTAGGATCTCTCTCTCTCTCCTTTGAACTAGAATTTCAGGGACTTCCTTTGAAGGATTAAAACATTTACGCCTACTTAGTAGAACACACGCACCGCCCTCAAGACTCTCCCGCCCATAATCCTTCACCATGTTTCCCTCTTCTTAACATTCTTGAATATTCCTCAATTCCTGAACGAGTATCAGGTGGTTAATCCCCTGTGACGACCTGACCATGATCCTGAACCTCCTTGATGACCTCCTCTGTCAGTAATATTTCCGTGACCAGTTATGACTCCTGAAACGTCGCCAATTCCCATGACAGAGTTGTGATCTTTGAAACACATTTAACAATCATGAGATCCAGATATGCAAGTACAGTGTCTGTTTCGGAGAATTACAGACAGACAGACATACAGACAGACAGACAGACAGACAGACAGAGTGAGCTTTTTCCTACCTCATGGTGGGTGGCGGGTGTCCTCCTACAGTTGTACAGGTCACGTCCAGAGTAGTGCCAGCGACGACCTCTCTCCGGAGATTCCCCTCAAACACAGGTACTCCTGGCGGCTCTGGGGGGTCATAAAAGGTTTAAAATGTGTGAGGTAACGAACAATAAAACATAAATAAAGTAAAACATCTTACAGAGAATCAATTAGACCCGAAAGTGTTTAGCATGGGTACAGTAACTTGAGGAACTGATGTCACGTCACAAAATAAAAGTCAGAGTTGAAAAAAAAAAAAGATCAACCAAACATTCACTCTGACGGAAAAGTCCAACACACAAACATTCTCCGAAGCTCAATTTAACAGAAAAGTTCTTCCTCCATTTACTGATTGACAGAGATACTCCATGATTACTTTTAAACAGGAAATAAATAAAAGAATTGTTGGTGACGAATCAATAACGTAGACTAAAATATACGAAAAAAGGAAGAAGTTACAAATGAAGTGTTATCATGATTATTGGTTTACTGAACGAAATGTAAGAGTTTTTGTTTATTATCGATCACGTTTACCTCACTATTGGTTAATTATGATCGTGGTTCTGTTGGCAACTACTCTGTGTCATGGTCATAATGCATTTGTTATAATGTTTTATGAGTTACTATGACTATAAATATTTCGTTATTGTTTCATATTGCTTCGTTAACAATTGCTTTATAATCTTGATATATCGATTTCGCCATTTTCGAGTCTTTTCGTTATTATTTAAATCTGAAGATGTTGCCATATATTTTTCTTTCGACTGAACACTCCCGTAAAGGTCAGGTCAAGTGTTCGCGAATGAAAAACCCATGGAAAAAGTTTTCAAATACATCGACCAATATGCACACGACAAGACGAGTCAGTCACACACACACACACACACACACACACACACACACACACACGCACACACACACACACACACATATATCCTCGTATCAGCCCACAGACCCCCAGCCCCCCCCACTCTGTTCTGTTTACCTGCCGACTCTAGATACACTGGTCATAGTCTTCCAATACCGGGAAGGAGAATTCGCTGTTGTACACACACTTAATAATTCCTCTCTGTGGTTGAGGTATATCCAACTTTAATACGTGTTTACATTCTATTCAGAGCCTCAGTCGTTAAGGTTATTTACACTGTTGACGTCTTATTTTTCCCTTTATTTTTTTTTTATTTTTTTTAACTGGAAGAGAACCTGAGTCTTGTATACCATCATCCCAAAGCCTTATTCTGGATCGCGTCTCTTATTTCGTTACCATAAAATTTAACCATGTCAGGGGTGGAATGGAGAGCAGAAACCAAATGTAAAGACAAATACATTTCTACCAGACTTCAAAATATTCCTCCGTGTTTGAACGTGATTAGTAAATGAATCTTGACTGTATAATACGTGAATAATAATGAAGAACACACAAAGAGATGACAGGTGAATCGTCTTTGGTAAAGCTCTATATGTTACCTCAGGCCAATGAAATAAAATATTGCCTAATACACGGTTCTGTTTTAATTAATTTCTGATTTAATTATAGTTCTTAATCTGTACTGCCATATTCACCACTTTCTTAAACGCATTAATTATACAGTATGGCATCTTTTTCCCCCTGGGTGGTGGCAGACAGGTGAA